GGCGTTGCTGCGCGAAAATTTTATTTTCACTTTTGTACACATTTACATCCTCAACTTTCCTGTATTTCAAGTTGCAGAGTATTCATTTTCATCCGGTCTTGTGCAAAGTCATTTATTTTCAGTTCATACCAGGCCAAATTATTGATTTTCAAAATCCTCCTCCCTTCCCTCCTTTCGAAATCAAATGGTCGTCCCCTTACTGAAAGCTAACGAAAGGACGTCATCAATTAATAGTCTGAGAAAAGTATTATCATAAACATAATTACCGTAAAAACTAGGATTCTACTGGTACAGCATGTTTACTAACTGACTGAATTATGTCGAAATTCTTAGAGAAAAGGATTATACATTCTTTATATGCCTGTCCCAAGTCACGATCGAATCGGTATTTGAGTGGTTGTCGTTGGTTCATGTCTGGTTTTTTTTTGGTAAGTTGTTTCGTTATAAATTAGGCTGTTGGTCTTCTCAAATGAATTGTTTCAATTTTTTTATATCCGGGCCTTTTATAGCCGACCAAACGGTATGTGTTTTCTCATTGGTGAAGGCCGTGTGGTTGCCTATAACTGCTTACTTCCACATCTCCTTATTTTTATATTATACAAGTATTACATAAAATTAACATTTATTTATCAATGTTCCATGTAAATGAGGTACGGTCAGATGAACTCTGCCACAAAGACATGTAAACTTTGCTACCATTCCATACACCAAATATATTTGACCAACTACTTATAGTATCTGAGACAAGGACTTGACAACTGAAACTTAACCTTGTTCACTGATCCATGACATGAGGTCGAGGTCAGGTGAACCATGTATGACCGACATGTAGACACAGGCACTTGTCTCAGAATTTTTTCCCCTAAATACCTTAATATAACAGGAAATTTTTTTTCTGAGACAAGTGCCTGTGCATGTAGACCTTGCAAGGATACCATATATTAGTAACCAAATATAGTTATCAAAGATGCAAAGGATACCAAAGGGACATTCAAACTCACAAGCGAGACATTCACATGACGAAAAAAAGCTATACAGTTTTTTAGCAGTCACTAAACCATGAAAATGAGGTCAAGGACAATGCTTGTATGACAGACGGGGACTTTGTAACACAATGGATCTATATACAAAGTATGAATCATCCGATTCATCTACCTTCTGAAATATAAAGATATACAAATAGTTTACGGTGTTGCCGCCGCCACCATCAGATTGTATGCTGTATGCCACTCATTCTGCGACTTGCTTCGAATGCGATTTAAAAAAGAACAACTGAAATTAGCTCTCTTACCTAAACCTGGTCGATGGGCTTTCTACTAAACAGTAGATAATGAAACGTAATAGCTACTGCTAGCTTCGGCAATTTTTCTATGTCGTTTCAATATGATTAAAATTCTGATCTATTTTAACTCGCGTGCTCGTATATATAAGCTCATATGAGGATATCGAAATCAGAGATCTATATTTTAATTAGATTGTTGTTGTTTACAACCCTCATTTTGTAGATAATCTTTGACTTCATGTCAAATGTAGGCCAATTTATGCTCAATAAGGCATATAAGTGCGTAAGATGTAGTGATTAATCTGTTTCTAATTGTCATTTTGTTTTCATATATACTTTAACAGAAACCCTCCCCCTCTTTAATCGTTTGCAGTTTTTCTTATTTCTATAAAGCAAAGATATACTCAGACCTGCTAATTCAATCCATTCTGCGTTAATATTACTAGTTTTGGTAATTGTATGTGCTTCCACACTCACAAAAATAAAATTGGATATTTACCGAGAAAATCATTACGAACACCTATCAAAAGACGAAAATAACATTTTGGGAGGGCAACTTTAAAATGTTAATATCTAAAAAAATATCTATAGAGATCACTTGTATCGAATCTTATGTAAAAATTCTGAATTTGAAAATTTTAATAGGTCAAGGTCACTGTTATTTAACAGCAGAATGAAACTTGTAAAAGTGCATCCTATAAGTACAAATGCCAATCTCGAACCATATTTGACAACATAAATATCAAATTAGTCCTAAATATAGAAACTATAGTTATAACCCTTTGAATTATTCTAATTTCTTTTTCTATAAACGCATATATGTAGGGGCGGCCAGCTGTCTAAACGTGACTCTGCGTTTTCCTTGAAAAATTTTAGTTTTGACCTTTGACCCAAATTTAAGAAAATCGTGACCACTGAAGACAACGACGACATCAATATTTCGATGAGGCTTGTTCTCCTCTTTCCAATGATATCAAATACAGCCGTGTGTTATTCCGTTAACCCAAATCGATCAAATTCGTTGACTGGGCACCCTACTATAAGCAGTATCTGAACCATGAGTACCAGGACAACGAACACATGACAAACTAAAACTTCGTAACATCAAATTATTCAGTGAGTATGGAATAAAAAATGTTTTACACATCTAGCATGAATTATCAAAACACTTTTTAAAGTCGTTTTCTACACTTTTTTTTCTAAATAAGCTGTTTGATATGATAACTTCTTAATCATATATATTAGAGATTTGGGGACTTTTGGTTAAGATCCATGACCTTTGACTTTAAATTGACCTCAATATTTTGACCTTCGTTTGTTATTGCTATAACATTTTAACTGAAAGAGTTAGAAATAGAAAAAAAGAGCAAAATGTTTAGAACATTATTTAAAGCAAAAATTTGATACATTCAGTTTAAACCAATCTGATGACATTTATAGGAGTTATTGCCCTTTTGATACTTAGAATAATGACTTATAGCTTCATATTGGAATATGATAAAGATATGGGGTATTTTACTTTAAGTTAAGAGACATCAACAGGAGGTGAACTGGTCCAAACCGAAAGTAGCCATTTTTGTACTAATTTCATACATAATACATAGAAACGATATATTTTTCGAATCAGCATAAAGTCACCAATCATACGAAACTGGAAATGACATTGTGTAAACTGGAAGTAGCAAATTATCTCCCTTATTTCAAGCAAAAGAACATGGATACCATATTTTTTGGACTCAGTGTTGAATGTTGGCTATCAAATGACGCAAGAAGTTACTTTTCTAAGCCTTACTTAATACAAAGTTTCAATAATCTATATATGAATGAAACTAGCGAAAGCTTAGTTTTCTCCTAATGCCTTAAATGACTTTTTAGACCGGAGATTACTGTTTTTTTCTAAATATTGTATGCATTTTATCTCATATCTTTATTCAATATGAAAATAAGGAGATGTGGTATGATTGTCAATGAGACAAATATCCAACAAAGTTCAAATAAATTAGATATTAGTAATTATAGGAAACTGTACGGCCTTCAACAATGAGATAAATTACTACCGTTTAGTCGGCTCTAAAGGCCCCAACATACAAAATATGAAACAAATTAATTTGAAAAAACTAAGGGCCTTATATAACAAAACAATTTACAAAAAACAAATATGGCAGACATGAACCATTGACAACCACTGAACTACATGCTCTTGACTGGGAAGTAGGAACAAATGTAAAACGGAACAATCGAACAAACAGACACACCTATCACTACATACGGGCCACTTAAAAGGCATGGCGTATATCAATATACAATTCATGCTGGTTGATAGCAATAGCTTAAACCAGCTCTCTGGGTCATGTAAGCTAACCTTTAGTTGTTACTTCTATGTCATTTGGTCTCTGATGGAGATTTGTCTCATTGGCAATCATACCACATCTTCTTATTTTCATAAACATATCCAATAAGAGCCATTTTCAAATGTGTCCTTCAATAAATTATTCCTGTCAATTTTGTGAGATGGATAAGCAGAAGATAATATAATGTCCACATGGTTCAATGGGAACTTTCATCGCAAGATTACTGCCTTGCATGTGCCATCTTTCAATGTGCTATTCAGATTATTAGTTACATGCAGTTTTACATCAATTTGCTTAGAATTTAGAGAAGTAACAATTCAAAAAGTGGACAAATATAAGAATAGATTACTCCGAATTCGTTTTCGCTGAATCGATTTATGACTATTGGACAGCGGTATACTACTGTTGCTTTTTTATTGCCTCTGGTGGCACTATTTTCAACCAAAAATAAAAAAAGCAAAAAGCAAAAAGTAAAAAACAAAAATACCGAACTCCGAGGAAAATTCAAAACGGAAAGTCCGTAATCAAATGGCAAAATCAAAAGCTCAAACACATCAAACGAATGTGTTTTATAATTGAACTGTCAAACAAGTTGGAGGTTTAGCTAGCTATAAAACCAGGTTTAACTCACCATTTTTTTTTAAATGCCTGTACCAAGTCAGGAATATGACAGTTTGTTTTCACTGGTTCCGTTGATTGATATTTACGGACTTCCCCATTTTGAATTTGCCTTGGAGTTCCGTATTTTTGTTATCCTATTTTTACATTTGTCTTGTCAAGTTTGGTACAAACAGACATGATATTGATAAAATTTGAAAAAAAAACAAAGTCACAACAAACAGATAGATAAAAAATGACTGATGTCAAGTGATGACAACATCTCATAGTCAGATCGACCTTTTACGCCATATGCAGTGAAAAATAGTTATTCTAATATGAATAAATTATTTAGCTTTGTGGACGCAGCTTTATTTTAATTTCAATAAACATTGATGGTGATACACAACAAAAACATTGATGCACATGCAAAACATCACATTTCAAATTGCAACATCAAATTTATTTTGAAGGACGCAGGAGATCAAAATCAACATTTTTTTATGATGTTGCTCACTACGAAATAAAATAAAAACATTCTATAAAGTAAGTCTGCATGTATTTGAATGATTTTGATTTTGCTTCATTAAATCAGAATGGCTGTAATTTCGAACATGTCTTATAGGTAAGATTTTAAGTACAAAAGTTTAGAATTTTCTTATTTGAATCGTTTTTTGTAAAGACATTGTCAAAAATAGTACCTACCAATGTTAAAATGAGCATAGAGTATGAAATATAAGAAGTTTTTCGTACAGAAAGGAACTACTTACAAAGCCACCGGCAATAAATGCTCCTGCATAATATTCACTTTTACCATATATAGCACCTGATATCCCACAAATCAGTAAGGAAATGGCAAATATAGCTTCTAAAAGACCAATTATTATGAAACTCTTGAATACTTTCTTTCTCTCCCTTCTCTCTGCCTCAATCACTGGAAAAAAAAAAAAAAAAACTAGAATAACACCAATTTACCATTGTTGGCTGGAACTAAATAGCAAGTTGTAAATATCTATTGTAAATTAACAATTTTAACTTAATTGACAGTAATAAAATATACATGTTTTAATTTTCATTGAAGCAAATAAAATATGAATATGTTTCTCAAGACTTGTAATTAAAAAAAAAATTAAAGTATTTCACTGTATTCCCCCCCGCCCCCCCCCCCCTAAAAATTAAGATTTTGGTCTGAGGTAATCTGCATTTAGTTATCATAGGACAAGAAGTGTTGAAGGACAGATAGATAAACAGACCCTTATAAAGAAGCAGGCTATTCACAGTGAAGGTTTTATAAAAAATATCTATCATAAACTTTGTAAATACATTTCAGTGTTGTAGTATTTAATTGTAAATTTAAAACATGTCCCAAGTGAGGAGCCTATAGTTGTTGTCGTTGGTTTATGTCTGTAGTATTTTTTTTGTAAATTGTTTTGTTATAAATTAGGCCGTTAGTTTTCGTAAAAGAATTGTTTCATATTTTTCATGTCGGGGCATTTTAAAGCCAACTATATGGTATGGGTTTTTCTCATTGTTGAAGGCCGTACGGTTGCCTTTAATGGATTACATCCACTTTATTTGAACTTTTCTGGATAGTTGTCTCATTCATAATCATACCACATCTCCTTATTTTTATATGTATGTAAAATGATAACCATTTAAGTTTGATTTATGTATGAAAAAATATGAAAAACTATGATTTAGAAGTGTGATGAAACAAAAGCTCACGCGCTGAAATGTCTCGCCTACTTTACTTATGATTGAATTAATGGTGATAGTCTGTAAAATGAAGGTTGCAAAACAAGTATCATATACTAGTAAACTAACATTATGATCAATGATCTATGTAAATGAGTTCAAGATCATATGAAACCTGCCAGACAGACATGTACAGTTTATAATCATATCATACGTTAAATATAGGTAGTTAATCGCCTATAGTAACTGAGAAACAGACCTGGTTATTAAACCTGGACATTGACCAACGAACCATAAACCATAAAAATTAACCAGTAGACGGGCAGAAAATAAGGCCAATGTCAGGTGATAATGTCTGGCTGACAAAATCTCTTCATGAACAATCTCCATTCTAGTTTTTTTCATAGTAAGTGCAATTTGGGATATCAAGACGTCGGGATTACGGTAATTTTTACAATTTTCTAAAACAGCTGTCACAGTCTGAGGAAAAGATAAACTTGTCATACTTTAATACCAAGTTGAACATACCTTCTTGGGTAGGACTATTAGCCATTTTACATAAATCAATTCATCTATTTTGCGATCTCAGCTGGTATAACATTCAGATATAAATCTTATCTACTGAAAAAAAAAGACTTCTGTTATATGCGTAGCTTCTCAGCTGAAGATTAAATATAGCCAGAAGAATAAGTGTGTACAGTATGTGTATTTTATACAGACTGAATTTATTTGTGAAGTATAGACTTATCAGAAAACAACATCTATAAAGACATAACAAATTTGACATTTTTTACAAAAGATAGATTTTGAATTTCTAACATATATATATGATCAACATTTTTGAAACTTGTCCAAGAAGGCATTCAAAAACAACAAAATTGAGTAAAATAAAACTTTAATTCACAACATTTGCATTGTTGATGTTTTCTAGTTTATGACTGATTGAGTTATGATATAATTACGCAGGATTGAGTATAATTGCTATAAGAGAAGCTCTGGTGGTGTAGCAATACAGTAGAAAAAGGAGATGGCTGACGAAACTTTAGTGATGGCTAATGAAAACAATAGAATACAAGTTATAGGAGATTTGTGTAAAATTGGTTTTAAATGTTGTTATGCGAATAAATTCCTGGAAGACCAACTTCACTTTATTTTTTCTGTGGGGTTCGTATTGCTAAGTCTTTAGTTTTCTATGTTGTGTTTTGTGTACTATTAATTGTCTGTTGGTCTGTTTTAGCCATGGCGTTGTTAGTTTATCTCTATGAGTTTTAATGTCCCTCTGGTATCATTCTCCTCTCTTTTATACAGAAGGAGACTGAAACCACACCCTTGTGTGTAATTACTGTAAACATGCCGTTTGACAACAGCGATGTGGAAAAAGAAAAACAAAGATACCTTGGAAGGTAAGAAGGAGGAGGAGAAAATGTAGGAGCACTCATGACATACTACTAATTGAAGACTTTAATGGGTCAGCATATCGCCCAAAAACATTTCATGCTCCTCTATTCATAACACATCCATAGCTGAAAATTTACTCAGAGAAAGAAACTTTTTCCGTCATAACAGGAATTCTTATGGATATATCGACTATATTTTCTCAACAAAAAATAAAAATACACCAAAAAGATCAGATCTCAGATATAAAAATATTGCTATGCACATGTCAGAGCTACAATCAAAAGAAAACTAGCTAGGAAAGCCACCAAACCAAAATCAGTCATTGTGAAATAATTGAGGAAATGCAGTCTACAAAAATATCGAATAACCATATTAAACTTCGAACTAGCAACACAAATATTGGTTTTAGTGCAAATACAACAATGGACAATCTCAAAATTCATTGTATACTCATAACTCATGACTAAAATCTTCTTTTTACTGATCATTTTGTTCTGTTTAGTTTCTGCCAAAAACAAAACCAGAATGCACACGATAAAATGTCTCACGTCCTGTACTGACCATGATTGATTTAATGTTGAAAGTCTTTAAAATGAAGGTTTTACTGCAAGTATAAAACAAGATTAACAATATCAATGGTCGATGACAATAAGGGTCAAGGTCAGATAAACCCTGGCAGACATACATGTACACCTTATAATAATTTCATAACCAGATATTGTTGAGCTATTGCTTATAGTATCAAAACCAAGCCAAACTGTGCAATTACTGAGCAACGGCCCACGAAAATGAGGTCAAGAACAAATGATACCTGCCAGACTGACATAAACACCTTACAGTCATTCCATACACCAAATATAGTTAACATATCGCTTATTGTAATTGAAAAACAAGCACAGACACAAAAACATAATATTGAACAGTGAACCGTGAACAATAGGTCAAAGTCAGATCAAACCTGCAAGACTGACACTTACCCATTACAATCATTCCATTCACCACTATATAAATAACACATAGCTGAGAGGGTGATAGAGCAGATTGTTACCTCGAGAAAACATTGTCAACTGAGGCGAAGCCAAGGTTGACAATGTCTTTTCGAGGGGTAACAATCTGCTCTATCACCCTCTTAGATATGTGTTATTTAATTTATTATACTGAATGTTCTGTTATTACTGTCTATTAAATTTCAAATTCAAAGTAATAAACTATGACGTCTTGTACATAACAACCATCCGTATTTAATAAAGCGCACACTTGATCAAGCGTCTCGGAACCGTGAATGGTAATAGAGTATTTACCATAGGATAGAGTACATTGTATCCCTCGTATTAACCAATCAAAATCTGGCTTTTTTGCATGAAGTATAATAAATATATTTGCCCTACTGCTTAAAGTATCTGAGATACGGACCTAATCACCTAACCTTAAGCTGGATCAATGATCTTTGAAATAAGTTCGAGGTCAGGTGAACCCTACCTGACGGACATGAAGACATTGTAACGAACCATATACCAAATATAGTTATCCTATCACTCATAGTAAGTGAGAAATTCACATTTCAAAAAAAAACTTACTATATCTTTTTTTCAAGCAGTCGCTGAACCATACAAATGAGGTTAATGACAATAGACATATGACAGACGAAAACGTCATATCATTAGGTATCTGCATACAAGGTATGGAGCATCCAACTCTTCTACCTTCTGAAATATAAAGCTTTATACAAATAGTTTACGCCGCCGCTGCCGGATAGAAATCCCTATGTCTCGTATTCCGCAATTTTAGCCGCAGGCGAGACAAAAATGAATAAAACTCATCACTCAAGGGCAGAAATTTCCATAGAACTGAACTGTCAGTTTCGGCTTTGTTTACCTATTTTTTTAATGTGCCTTGCTAATAATTTTTGCTGTTTACATATTCTATCTATCATCAGTAGTTTTTGCCAAAAACACAAAAAGCAATAAATTCGTCATTTAGAGGCAAAAAGTGAATAACCCCTTTAAGCAGTCACCTGTTAATTTTAATATTTAAGATAACAGTCAAAACTAAAAAAAAATAGGATAAACATTGTCATTATAATGCGATATTGACCATGTTGACGTATCTTGTCTTGCTAATCTTTTTTTCTATCTAAAGTTTCTTTCTTTTTATCATAGTTCTTAATAACAGACAAAAGGGAGAAAAAGGTAACAAATCATCATTAAAGGGCGTTGACTCATATAATGAGTTGTCTGATGATTTCAGCTATTTAAACCCATTTTGGCTGCTGGACCACAATTATTTTCAGGGAATATGCCAGTTGTAATCTTCGGAAAATTTATATACCAAGTAAGGAAAATGGCAGTTGTTACCTTCTGAAAATGCAGGTACCAAGTCAGGAATATGACAGTTGTTATCTTTGGAAAATGCCTGTACAAAGTAAAAAATATGCCAGTTGTTTTCAAGTCGTTCTTTTGGTTGGACTTCCTACTTTTGAATTCCCCTTTGAGTTTTATATTTTTGTTATTACATTTTTGACTTATAAGTAGATCTGGTCCTGAAATAATTGTGTAACTCATAAGTATTTAAGGATACCCTAAAAATATAATTATGGAGCTCCATCAATGTTCAGAATATCCTTCATTTTATAAAAAAAACCCTCCTGAAATTAAGCAATTTTGACCGATTATTTGTAGAGATCCTAAAATTCAAATTGTTGAGAGTTTTCGAGATATTAGACAAAACGTTCTTTTATTCCCATGTCCTATTTTTTAACCATTCAGGCCATATTGGCTGGCAGGCGGGACCATCAATCACAATTGTTTAACTAAATACCCTATGATGATTGTGGCCAATTTTGTTAAAATTTGGCCTAGTAGTTTCAGAGGAGAAAATATTTTGTAAAAGTTGACTACTGACAGACGAATGATGCCATGTGATGAGAATAATATATTTGACCCTTTGGGCAAGGTGAGTTAATAATGCAAAATGCATACAATGGAGATGTACCCGACTACAATAAATCAGTAAGAATAAAATGCAATTGGTAATCACATCGGAAAAGGATATATCAACAATTACTTAAGAAAAGTATTCCCTATTGAAAAATGGAGGAACACAAAAAGACAAAAATAACTGCTAAACTCACGGCTTGTGGCGATCAAAAAGCTATATTGGCAGGCTCATGAATAAGCACATGGCTCAAAAATGGAAAAAAACTGGTCAACCAAAAATGACAGCAGCTTCTTCTGACAAAGACTATGAATGGGTAACCAACAAGAATATTCTTCGAATGTGGACAAGTTATTTTAAAGAATTATATACAATCCAGACTATAGACAGGACTATTCAGACAGTTCAACCCACCATTTTTTTTCTTAAAATGTCCTGTACCAAGCCAGGAAAATGGCCATTGTTATATCATAGTTCGTTTCTGTGTGTGTTACATTTTAATGTTGTGTTTCTGTTGTGTCGTAGTTCTCCTCTTATATTTGATGTGTTTCCCTCAGTTTTAGTTTGTAACCCGGATTTGTTTTTTTCTCAATCGATTTATGAATTTCGAACAGCGGTATACTACTGTTGCCTTTATTTTTGATTATCCTGCAAAATCCTATTATAGAAAAGAAAGAAAAAAGCGGAAAGTCAGAATTGAGTCAAAAAAAAGGAACAAAATACATAATACTTTAAAAAAACGAAGCATTGAAAATCCCCATATATTGATTTAATCTTAGCCAAACAATACAATAAAGCTGTTTCCGAGCTTCTACCGCTCATATATATATTCCGTTTATATACAGTAATATATCAAATTGACACACAACAATTAACGAAAGGAGATAGATCTACAGACACCGGTACTGGGGGAAAATCTGGATAAAAAAAAACAGCAAACCATAGGTGAATAACACTGACCAAAATCCTTGAGTGTATCATTGCCTAGGACAGATATAAAAGTCCATCACACTGAAACCCAATTACAATGAGAATTTTTTAGAAACCATTCCTACGTTATTTGCGCACATCTGGCATCGGAAGTTATAATACAATCTTGTGAAGATAACCAGGCAATCCTGCTGCTAACTTTTGATGCAAAAGAGGCTTTTGATAAGCCCTATCAGGACATACCATTCACCAAGATCTATCACTATGGCATTGAATATGAAATGTGGATTCTGCACTAGAATATGTATAGTGAAATGAGCATTCAAGTAAAATATTGACTTACTTGAAGATCATATTTTGAAACATTTTAATATCGAAATATTCTCTCTGTCAACTAGTTTCCTAAGCAAATGCAAAAAGGGTAAAATCATCATGTAAAGGCACCAACTCAAATCTTAACTGTTTTTTTTTTTTTAATTTCTCTTTATCTGTTCTAGTTTGCCAAAAAAATGCGAAATTTACTAAATATTTACTTTTCAAGGACAAGAACTCCATGTTTGTTGGTGGGTAAATTCTAGGATAAACCTTTGAAACCGGATATCCTACGAAACATCAAAGTAAAGTTTGATAACATTTGGCATAGAAGTTTCTAGTTTCAGAGAAGAAAATAATAACAAAAAAGTTTACCCCGACGGACGATCGGACGAGGATGTATGATGGACATGACCTTTCAGGCCAGGTGAGCTAAAAAGGTACCATGACATTCTTAAAACTGTCAGAACTGGTCTCTTGTGGAGAGTTGTCCCATTGGCAATCATACCACATCTTCTTTTTTATATTATATATACTTTATTACATGTATCATAGATAAATAATGATAAAATATACCTCTACCAGATACCTGTACACGTATGCATGTGATGCGGTTCTGGAAGGTGTTACACATCTAGCTCCTGTTACCAGTACTTTTAAAGGTGATAAGACCATATCTGTTATGCAGACTTATTCAAATGATCGAACAAAGTCCGTTTTCAGAGACAAAGAAGCTACGAAGTGTCAATCGTCTCTTCACGATAAATATGCTGTTGTTCCTCCGGGCAAAGCTTCAAATAATATTGTTTTTGTATGTAAATCGTACTACTATGAGTGTCTTGTAACTGAATTAGGAATAAATTACCACTCAGGTATCTCACATACAAAAAGATTTCATTTGACAAGGATGAAATTTTGGCGAAACATAAGTCCTTCATGGCTTCAACATTACATTAAACAGCAAATCTAAGGACTTACCTTGTTTGTATTGGATACCCCAGCTTCACAAAACTCCGTACAAACAACGGTACAAATGCATGTTCTAGAAAGGAATTGCCCATTAGATTGACAAAAATTCTGGTCGCAGTTAAAGAGGGTCTTCAGAAATACTGTGAAACTGTTTACTCGCACAGTGGTATTAACAAAATGTGGATTCTAAAAAACTCTACAGAACTTCTTGATAATTCTAAATCTCGATCTTTCTCTGAAATTAATTCTATCAAAACTTATATTTTTCAACCCCTGTATACCACCTTTCTATATGTGAAATTGAAAAATAGTCTAAAAGTAATAAACCACAATGCTTTTCAATATATAAATGACAGCATTCGCTATACATTTATTGCTTTGGGATACCATACGGCATATTTTACTAATAGTGAACAAAAAGGTAAAACATGCTACACAGAGGAAACTAGTGATCAGTATGCTGGAGTTTCTCATTGACAACATATTTGTTGAATTTGGAGGAAGACTTTTTCAGCAAGTTGTTGGCATTCCTATGGGAACGAAGTGTGCGCCTCTTCTTGCTGACCTCTTCTTATTTTCATATGAGTCAGAGTTCCTTCCGACACTTGTCAAAAATAAGAAAATCAGAGAAGCTCGATCATTTAATTTCACATTCAGATGTATTGATAATGTTCTTTTCATTAAGAATCCAAAATTTTCTGATTGGGTTCCATTAATATATCCTCTAGAACTAGAAATTAAAGAAACAACAGACACGGCTTCCTCCGCCTCATTTTTAGACTTATACTTCGAATTTGACATAAGTGGTCATCTCAAAACCAGAATCTATGACAAGCGAGACGATTTTAATTTTAAAATTATAAATGTTCCCAACCTTAGCAGCAATAAACCATCTTCACCTGTTTATGGGATATACATTTCCCAACTCATTCGGTATTCAAGAGCTTACTGCTGCTACTCAAACTTTATCAAACGCCACCAGTGTCTGAGCAGAAATTTGATGAGCCAAGGATATGTCAAAGAACGTTTCGTCCTGTTTCTAAAAAAGTTCATTGGAAGATACCAAAACCTTGGTGATACATATTCCGTATCAACTTCACAAATAGTACATGATGGTTTTGAAGTATAGATTCAAGGTACTGACGTTGTTTATCATCTTATTTACGTGTTCAAGTTCCCTTTTTTTGTCCTTGTATATTTTGAACCTTTACTGTTTATCCATTTTTGTTTATATACTTATGACGTGGATCAGTACTTATACATCCCGCCATTGTGCTATGGTCAATTTTGAGTTCTTGTCTTTCATTTTTACTTATGTACTTTGTCTATATTGGTTTTTGTGTTTCTTTGTTGGAACAGTTATTTGCTTTTATAGTGATTAAGATTGTATTACAATGTTGACTGATGTACCCCAATTTTTGACGTTTTTACCTATTATGTCTGTTTGTTTTGCTCACACATTTTTGTCAATATAATGGAATAATGGAATTATATGCGACTGTCATACAAGTGAGAGGTATTTACTAGTTCGAAACCAGATTTAATCTACCATTTTCTACATAAGGAAATGCCTGTACCAAGTCAGGAATATGACAGTTGTTTTCCATTTGATAGATGTGTTTAAGCTTTTAATTTTGCCATTTTATAAAGGACTTTCCGTTTAGAATTTCCATTGGAGTTCGGAATTTTTTTTATTTTATTTAACTTTAAACAAGGAACAAGCAAAAAGTAAAATAACAAACATACCGAACTCTGAGGAAAATTCAAAACGGAAAGTCCCTAATCAAATGCCAAAATCAAAATCTCAAACACATCAAACGAATGAATAACAACTGTCATATTCCTGACTTGGTACATGCATTTTCTTATGTAGATAATGTAGGATTAAACCTGGTTTTATAGCTAGCCAAACCTCTCACTTCTATGATAGTCGCATACAATTCCATTATATTGACAACAATGTTTGAACAAAACAAACATGCATAATAGATAAAAATGTCAAAACTAGGGGTACAGCAGTCAACATTGTGTTATAATCTTAATCACTATAAAACAAACTAATATGTAAACAAGGTTAAAAACAAAAAGGCATATAGACAAAGCACATTAGCAAAAACGAAAGACAATAGTACAAAAGTTTTACCTAAAAATAGCACAATAACACAATGACGGGAATAGACTAAACAGTAAAATTAATAATTTACAAAGACAAATAAAAGAATACTATAACGTTATTTAGATGATAAACAACACCAGTACCTAGAATCTATACTTTAAGACCATCGTGTATTATTTGTGAGGTTGATACGGAATATTTATCAATAAGGTCTTGGTATCTTCCGATGAACTTTTTTTTAAAAAAGAACGAGACGTTCTTTGAAATACCCCTTGTTCATCAACTTTCTGCTCAGACACTGGTGACATTTTACAAAGTCTGAGTAGCAGCTGCAAGCTCTTGAATACCGAATGAGTTAAGAAATGTATATCCCATATGCAGGTGAAGTTGGTATATTGCTACTAGGGGTGGGGGAAATTGATAGTTTCAAAATTAAAATCGTCTCGTTTGTCTTAGATTCTGGTACTGAGATGACCGTTTATGTCAAATTCGAGGTATAAGTCTTAAATTGATTGAGAACTGAAAACAAATCTTGATGAGACAGGATTGAAATGAAAATTCTGCCGCCCAACAAAATGCAGGAAATAATTGTGCACAAAAGCAAAAAATCTATTTTTCAAGCGAAATCTTGCGTCACCTGACCCCTCCATAATATGTAACGGTCATTCCAAAGATATTTATCTGCTTCTTACAGGCGTGCATATGTGAGCTTAATTTAATCCTGTGATTTTTGTTCCAGAACTTATTTCACATTTGGTAAAAAAAAATTAGTTCCGGAACAAATTTTACAGTGCTGGAACATATTTCTTTATTATATATATTCCGGGTAAAAATTTACTGCGATATAAATGTCACGCTGGAACAAATTTTTTTTGTTACACATACCTATTATAGTATATACTATACAGTAAGGGATTTGCTCATTTTTGAAGGTTGTACGGTGATCTACAGATGCTTTCAGTCACGTCCTATTGTCTTCGGTGGATATTCTAAATGGAAATCATACTACATCTACTTGACAAAGTTACTACCAAGGTGAAGTTGCACACCAACCTGTATTTTACCGGTCTGGATATAAACCTTTTACTTCCTTTTCAAGCACTATATATAGTATAACATGTAAGATCAGAAAAATACCTGAAAAGAATCACAATAAACCAAAAAAATACTACTTACGTCAGATCCTGAGATCATATCATTGGCAAGTAACACGAATAAAATTCAGTCTGAATCTGAAATCGCACTATTACAAATAGTCTCTACCAGACAATTTTACAGTGTCTTATAAATATACAATCATGACTAAAATATGATTTGTGCTCCTACTGGAAAGATCGCCTAGGTGTCTTCTATTTTAATGAATATAATAGGCTTGTGCGTTTTTTGAATTTAAATAACAACTTGGTAGAGCGCAATTTGATATTATAATGAAACGAAGGGTCAAGGTCTTGTCACAGAAGTTGTTTATTTGTTAAATAATTTTAAAAATAACTAGAAATAAATAAGTTGGGTTTTAAATTTCTAAAAATAAATAAGCTGGGTTCACTCACTGTTGTAAATGCTTTCATAAACTCACGTGTAATTTTTAGTGTACATTAATGCAGACTCTAAAAAGAATTGACTTACTAACAGTTACTTATCCATACTGATATATATTGACCACAAAAGGATGAAAGTTAACTACTTCTTCGTTCCAAAAATACCAATTTGTTTAGTGTTGAACAAGTTTTAGATTTTTTGTTTAAAGTATAAGTGTTTGGAAAATAGTACACTTTGTGAATTTAGATAATGTTATAATCTTATAAATCTGAAAGGACAGAAGCTCATTGATTCAAAACTTTCAAGGAAGAAGACAAAAAAAAACCTTAATCATAATATAGAGTAAAAAATTTCTGAAAACGAATGATATTTTTATTAAAGTTTGATGTAAAGGCTATTGTTTGAAAATATCAAATTTTATGTCCGACATGTTATGTTTATTGTATTGTAAAGTAAGAGTATCAGCATAAATGGGTAATCAAAATTAGAGAATGCTGCGTATTCACATAACATGTGTATCCCTTTGTCTCAAGTAATGAACCTTCCACTTATTTTTTTATCCGGGTTTTGGGGTAAAACATTTTTCTGTGCAATAGATTGAGACCTGTTTGTTCAATGCGTTTCAAATTTTAACATGTTGTTACTGATTGTTTAACAAATTCAGGGCAATATAAAGAAGTTTAAAATTCCATACCTTTTTTCAAATATTCTTGATTAAAGGGCGCTCTAGTTTAAAAGATGAAAGATTTTGACGTCAATCAGCCTTATATTGTTACATGTAACTCCGTGATACATGTGGAAATTACTGTCAAACCTGCTTACAACACCAGTATTACGCAAAAAAAAACTGTGTTGATGAGCCAGGGGTATTTCAAAGAACGTCTCGTCCTTTTAAAAAAATTCATCAGAAGATACCAATTAAGACCTTGTTGATAAATATTCCATATCAACTTCACAAATAATACACGATGGTCTTGAAGTATAGATTCTAGGTATTGACGTTGTTTATCGTCTTAATAACGTTATAGTATACTTTTATTTGTCTTTGTAAATTATTACTTTTACTGTTTATTCTATTTTTGGTAATATGCATTTGACCTTGCGCGGTAATTATACACCCCGTCATTATGTTATTGTGCTATGGTATATTTTTGTATTCTTGTCTTTCGTTTTTGCTAATGTGCTTTGTCTATATGCCTTTTTGTTTTTCTTTGTTGACATATTTCTTTGTTTTTATAGTGATTAAGATTATAACAAAAATGTTGACTGCTGTACCCCTATTTTTGACATTTTTACCTATTATGTGTGTTTGTTTTGTTCACACATCGTTGTCAATATAATGGAATTTCATGCGACTGTCATACAAGTGAGAGGTTAAGCTGGCTTTAAAACAGGTTTAATCTACAATTTTCTACAAAGGAAAATACTTGTACCAAGTCAGGAATATGACAGATGTTATCCATTTGTTTGATGTGTTTGAGCTTTATGATTTTGCCATTTGCTTATGGACTTTCCGTTTAGAATTTTTCTCAGAGTTCGGTATTTTTGTTATTTTTCTTTTTGTTAGTAACAGCATTTCATTAACCAAATCAATTGTTATATATTTTCTTATATCCTTATATCTTGATCAATCTAACAAGTGTTACTTGATTTTTATACAATGTGCCGAATACTGTTTGATGTAATTTCATATGTTTCATTTTGAAAAATACAAAAATACAAAAAAGAGATATAGTTCATTTTTTGTTGATTTCTCCATGTTACTTGTTTGTTTTGTGCATGGATCCATCCAAATACTATTCTAATGATCAGGATGTTCCTATCCTATCATAACTTATACATAAACCGCACCCATTGCGGCTACAATTTTCAATTGCGAACACTTAATGAGGGATCTCAATACGGACGACTTCAAGTCTTAACCTCCTGATTGCATTTGTGTTCCGCATTCATATATTATCCGGACGGTGGCCTAAAAATTGTAAACATTACCGCCTTAAAAAAATCAATAGTCGTAGGACCATAAATAACGTTAGCTTAAATCCATAAACTGAAAACACAACTTGAAATACTCATGGATTCAGTCCAGGATTAACTAAAAAAGAAGACGAATGGGCTATGGCTGCGAAGTCGTTAATACAAATTGTATTAAAAACGGAATGGGTCTATGAATTCTCATGGTATACTTATCTTCAAAAATGTTGATTAACACATGTCCTACCTCCATGACAAATATGTAGTTTCCCCCGCTGATATAGCCGCGAACAACATCATTTTTGTGTGTAAATCACATTCCATAAACTACTTGATAACGAAATTATGTATTGACAATTCACCTGAAACTCAACATATATATTAGATAAGATACATCTGTTTATTAAAGTGTCACGTATTGACTGCAATAAAAGAATTAAAACACTATATACACAAATAATACAACAGCCAATATTCAGCCAAACCTCTGACTTACGAGACACTATAAACCAAATAACTATTTACAAATTAAAACAGCGTAACAAATAGAACAAAATGTATTTATCATCTAAACAAAAGAATAAAACTAAGCATATACTTCCATGACACTTACAAATGAGAAAATCCTGAGCAATCATAGGTCTTTTCTACGTTCCTGACTTTCAACCACAAATGAAAAAGTAAACTTAACTTTACTGTACAGCATAACGGAAAAACGCTTGCAAAATATTTTTATCAATTTTATCAGCCATCAAAGTCGCGCTTCAGACTTACAATGAAACTACCTACTCTATATGCGGTGTGAATCAGATGTGGATACTAAAGAAATTCACAGATCTGTTATTGATATTATTTTAATTATAAATAAAAGTATAAGACATTTGAACTTTACCCTTTACACCAGTATGCACCTTTCTAAAAATCAAGACATTTTTGAAAGAATTAGTCACTTAATTGCATTAAAAAGAACAACCAACGCGATACACACGTTTTTTATTTAAGAGGAGATAAATCCCGCTTTGTGAAAACCTCTCTGATCAAAAACGAAATATTCTCTCAAACCGACAACATCAAGATGCTTGATTGTTAGATTGACAATATTTATGTTGCGTTTGGAAGACATTTTTTCCCACAAACAGTCGGCATTCCTGTATGAGCCAACAATGCACAGTCTGCACGAAGAAAAGGAGTCTTACTACGGACTTTTTTCATTTATTCAGATAAAGCAAAGCAGATTACATACAGTTACTCACAAGTAAGAATGAAACGAAGTTAGCATTATCTTTTAACTTTAAATTCCGCTAAAACAATGTTCTCTCACTTAATAAATCGGATTTGGTAACTATGGTGAACGCATCTGTTCCATCAAACCTTTTAAATAAAGGATACCACATATACAGTTAATTTTGCCTAATATTCTGACAAACATCTTTCGTGAAATACCCCAAGTTTTTAGTAGGGTTCGTGTTGCTTAGTCTTTAGTTTTCTATGTTGTGTCATCTGTACTATTATTTGTCTGTTTGTCTTTTTATTTTTGGCCATGGCATTGTCAGTTTGTTTTCAATCTATGAGTTTGACTGTCCCTCTGGTATCTTTCGTTCCTCTTTTATAGTCAATTGAGAACAAAACTTAACGATGAAAGAGTTGATTTTAGCTTCAAAGTTATGAACTTCCATTGGTCTGCAGCGGCTGCATATTGAGTATATATGTAACACTCCCAAACGTGTCTATCCTCCCAAACGTGTCCGATTCCCCCAAATGTGTCTATTTCCCCCAAACGTGTCCTTTAAAGTTGACATCGCCCAAACGTGTCCGATTTCATAACCCTCAAACGTGTCCGATAATTGTTATTCGCCAAAACGTGTCCACTTTAAAACGCCTGAACGTCTCAAAACTTTAAGCGCTATTATGTTCTCAGTCCTAACTAAGATAAAAGCAGCATTCAAAAGACATAAATCCAGAAGTATTTTGGGCACAATTACCAGAAATTAAAAAAAAGGAACAGACTTGAAAGAAGAAATTCAAAATTTATAAGCATTAGTTTGTTCAACGCCAGTTGTTTATATGAAGCATAATTACAAGATTGATTAGCAACATATAAATAACTCTTGAATGTTGCCTGTTTAATGTCGAGTGGCAAATATTTCATGCATATTTAAAGCAAACATAAAAATTAGTTTAATACAGTTACATTAATCTTTTACTAAATAAATTATTTTGTACTAATAAACTGTGGTGATGCCTTCCTAAATTAATCATGTATGAGGATAGTGCACGGCCGCTTCCTGCATAGGTGTTTTACAATTTTTTCAATAGTTCTGCTTTTTTAAAAGCTCTTGAAATTATGAACTGGTGTTCAGGTTTTATATTATAAATTTTGGGTCTCGAGCATCACTTAAAGACACACAAACAAGAGACATTACGTCCAGTGGCAAATATTTCATGCATTATCAGGACAACAACATATTAACAATAAATACTATAGGTAAGTTTTATAATGAAAGGCGGAAGAATATTTTCCGGGACTTTGGGATTGTACCTTTATTATTCCCGGAATTTGGGATTTGGCCTAAATGTGTACGGTTATGAGGAATTTACACTAATCGGGAATCGGAATTAAATAATAATTTTTAAGAGAGGGGAAAGACCTATTTACTTTTCGAGACTTCAGTATGACACTCCTTCATTCCCCCCTTATATAATAGATATAAATAAAAGAAGATGTGGTATGATTTCCAATGAGACAACTCTCCACATGAGACCAAATGACTCAGAATATAACAACTATAGGTCACCGTTCGGCCTTCAACAATGAGCAAATCCCATACCGCACAGTCAGCTATAAAAGGCCCCGAAATGACAATGGAAAACAATTCAAACGAGAAAACTAACGGCCTAATTTATGTACAAAAAGGACGTTTGAAATTAAAGTTGGGGAAATTCTAACTGCCACTAGATAATAAGGGTATATGT